TAGCATAACAGTAATGAAACTCAATTACTGTACGTAAGAAACACTAAAATTTATTGAGTGAATATTTCGGCTATATTTGTAGTCTTTGTCAACGCTTGACATAAAAAAAAAAACATTGACATGTTATCGATGGTACATTACAAAATATTATCTGTAACTACATTGAAAATATTTATTCACAACTTAGAGTTAAGGTTAAATGCCCAGATTGGGAAACTGATGTAATTAAAATTGAACGTTGTGTTTTCCAAGGAGACACACTTTCCCCTATTGTTTTCTTACATGCCTTCTATCCCTTGATTGATATTATTAAAGTTAATTTCGATTTTGAATATTGCATTGACATCCCTATTCCAAATTCTTCTCGCCGTCCTGTGGGCTTATTTATTTAGGCCAAATAAAATAAATTGTTTGTTTGCCCTTCTTCTTTTTTTTGGTGGAAATGTTTTTTAAAATTTATTATTATTTTTTCAATACTCATTAGATGGAATAAAAATAACCCACAGAGGCATAGAATGGCAATATCTTACATCAGACAACAACTTTAAATTCACTGACATTTTGCTTAATTTGTAAAGAAAAAAACTAAAAAATAAACTTTTCTAAAGTTATTTTATTTTTCCGTCCCTTTTTTCAGTAAGTTAGAAGCGGGAGGAGGGCAAACAAACAATTTTTTTGGCCTTATATTGAACGTGATGCCCGAACATTTGTTTGGCAGTTAGCAGAGGTGTGTAAGAATTCGGTAAACTCTCGGTAAAGTATAAAGAGATACATGAGGAAGAAATTGTCGATCCTAGTCTTTGCAACTAGATCTTGGTATGAGGCTCAGATAGAAAATTCAGGATCCTACACGACCACAGCCTAAAGTTCGTCGTCACTTGTTAGAAACTAAAATAATAAAATCAAAACCGCTTCTGGCTAAAGTCTTTGCAAATGACATCACTATTATATCATCGAACCGTGACAATCATCAACAACTACTTGACGACTTCATTAAGGCAGCTCTAAAAATAGGTCTTATGCCCCTGCCTAATAAAAGTTTCATTTGGCCATAAATGATAACAACAATAAATGTAAGCTAAACGGATGCGAAATCCAATCAGTAAAAGATAAACCAACTAAATTAGGCCGTATTATTTTGAATAGGCAGATTAAATATTCAGCTAATGCAGGATTGAAATTAATTGAAACGATTAAATCGTACATAAAATGTATTGACTGTAAAAAAAAATCAGGGGTGAATTTCAACTATGGATATTAATGTATTATGTCCTTCTTAGGACATTTAGGTATTTCATAACGGTTCACAATATTTCTAAGACAAATTTCGAAACGACGCAGTCACGAATTACTAAATCACTTATGAAATGGTTGAATCTCCTTCGGAGCATGCATGTGCACTGCAATCATCCATCACCCATCTCTACTCGGAGTACCCTTTCTTTCGGACTTCGAAAAGATCGTTAAAGGCTCTGCACTAGCTCTATTATTATTTTCTAAAGATAAATTAATAAAGGAGCTGTTGTCAAATTTTGATCGTGATCGCCAATTTTATCCAAAGTTTATGGCTCCAGGAGTTTAGATTCTGAAGCACTTGCTCATGACGCTTCTATTAAACAATGTAAACAGCTTATTAAAACAAAATGTTGTGTTGATGCTACAACGAATCTTGAAATCATGTCGGTTCAAAATAAAATAATTAAATCTATTGAACTTGAAAAAGATAAGAAAATATGGGCAGAAATACGTCATGTCCTTCCACCTGGCCAGTTGTCGTTCGTACTTCGTGCCGCCTCAGAGACAAACTTCTAACAGAAATAAATCTGAGACGTTGGAAAACCAAACTTCGGCAAAGTGTAAACTATGCTAACACAATCACCCCACAACTTTATATGTCCTAAATGGGTTTCCAGAGGCCCTCTCCCAGGGAAGATTTACTTGGTGACATGACTGTGTACTTGCCTGTATATTTCAACATCTAAAAGAATTCACCTCAAAAAAGAATGACCAAATTTATGCTGACCTCGATGGGTTTTTAGGCTTCTTCTGACCCCTTTTCCACTATTCTTAGCTATATTTGTATCACTTCGGCTAGGCCTGATGTTGTGCTGATTGATGGCCCACTATTATTAGGCGCACATAATGCAAAAGAGAGTGTTAATAATGCGAAAATTAGAAAATCAAATAAATCTAATTATCTCCAACTCATTCAAAAATTAAGTGAACAATTTTCTGAAGTGCGCTACGTCACTCTGGAAATAGGTTCACTTGGTCATTAAATCAGTAAGGGTATCGGGCCTAGATTCAATATTCTTTGCGGTAAAAAAATGTCTAAATCTACACTTGGAGGTATTAATTATGCAAGATCTTCGTAGGACATCAATTCAATGTTAAAAGTACATTTTCCAGTTTGAAACATGGTCTTCGCCATCACTTTCTTATTACGTTCACGGCAGGCTTATGATCGATGCCCTGCAAGTCTGTATAATGCCTCTAAGGAGTACTCTACTGCAATCCGCCTCCAATGAGTACTGTACTGCAATCCAAGGGTAAATTCAATTAAACA